AAAAATTACATACAAAGTGTTTAAAATTGAGTAAATATGAGCACTTAATGTTTATTATTAGTAAAAAATATATTTTTACTTCAAAATTTTTTACAATTTTAAACATTTCATGGGTATATTTTTGTGTATTTTTTAAACACCTCATGTTCAAAAACAAATCTTGAACATCTGGTGCGTATATTTACACAGGTTCTGGTTGAAAAATAAACACTTTTCAGTAGTAGTTTTACATGCACTTTTTAGAGTGTAGAAGAAAAGTCACGGGTTAAAACCGAGGGACGAAATCTTGGTACACAGGTATAGTGCGTTATAGGTTTCTCCTGTATAGTCCTGGTACACATCTATAGTGTAGTATAGGCTCTACATGTATTTCAAAGTGTGACCCTGGCGCCAATGCAGAGTGTTCTTCTATACGCAGTCTATATTCGTTGGCTATATAGCTAGATAGCTATATAGCTAGCGTGTAATTGTGCTGTGCAAAATGTATTTACTTATATTTTTCGCATAGCGTTTGCGTCTTTTTAATATTTTTAGTCGTACTCTTTTCTATTATGCATTATTCATTATTTTTTTTATTCACGATAGTGCTGTGGAAGGCGAGCATTTCGCTACAAACGAGGACGTTGCTGAAGGCGTCCATGACGGTACATGCGAGGCTGCAGTTCAAGGAGAAGGCGAGGTTGCTGCTGAACCCGAAAATGTGGATGCAGGCGACGATGTCGATGGGGGCGAGGATGCCATTAATCCAGTCGATAACACTGTAGATGACGATGCTGACGTATCTGAAGTTGCTCAAGAGGTATCAAATAATCCTACTTGTATTTTTTGTGATAAAAGTAGGAAAAAACATCAAGGCCACGAGCAACAATTGCATGTATTAGAGAAGGAAAAGGCATTGGAGAATATACAGCAAATCGCTATGGATTTAGACGATGTACAGTTTATTGAAAAATTGCATAACTTGTGGTTAGAAGAAAAATTAATATTTTATCATGCGATATGCCGAAAAAAAATATGAAAATAGAATCTCAGCGAAAAAAAGCAAAGAGAAGCCAAAAACAGGGTGGCATACAGCTCGCAATGTTCATTCTCAAGCGTATGAGGAAATATGTCAGTTTGTGTCGAAAAATATCATCGCCAAGAATCAGTCGTTTTTCCTGTCGTCTCTAAACACGATATTTATAGATTATTTGGAACAACACAAGGCAAACACAGATGTGTATACGATGAAGCCGTATCATCTAGAAAATCGGCTTCTAGCTACATTCCCAAAAAAAATAACCGTCGTGTTGCACAACAATAAAAAAATTGTAAAACCTTACAAAGGCGTTCTTGTACAGCAACAATTTAATCAACTAGAAAGAAAGGACGTTTTATTGCATGCAGCATTAATTTTAAGACAGGAAATACAGAATATTGAACAAAACAAATTGCCAGATCAGCTCACTTCTGCTGATTTAATCAAAGGAGAGTGTGATGTTCCAGAGAACCTGTTTAATTTTTATTTAGATTTACTTTGTGGACCAAATTCTCGTAGTAGGCGCGGCGACAGATCAAATAGATTAGCAAAATCTTTTTCCGAGGACATGATATATGCAGTGTCAAATGGGCAAATAAAACCTTCTAAACATATATGCCTTGGCTTGAGTCTAAAAAGTTTAACTAATAGCAAGAAGATTGTTAATATTATGAACCGATATGCTGCTGATTTAGATAACAATTATTTATTTAATATTTCGACAGGTCAAACGGTACAAGAAAATATCGAAAGATTCTTACTTAATGTCGAAACAATGGGTAATGAACCACGAGAAAATTTTATTACACAATGTGCAGAAGATGAAAAAAGATTTGAAAAACCCATAAAACAAAATAAAGTGCTTAATTTTACAGACAATATGCAAAAAAAGAAAATGACAGTGTCAGGAAAAGTTGTTGAACTGCGTATGCAACGTGACTTGTTTGGCCAATTTTTATGCATATCTTTGCAAAAATCTCTAGATATAGATAAAGTTTTAATATATCCTCTAACGCCAGTGCCATTATCAATGTGTCACATGGATGGATCTATTTGCAAAACTAATAAGGCAGCTCTATTAAAAGTACTCGAGCAGCAGATTGAGCCGCATACTCCGGAGCATACTAACGTGAAGGTGTTCGATGGATTTTTTATGCTTCATTTGATGAGGGAAATTCCAGCTACTTACGGAAACATATCTACTAAAATTTTAAGTATGTTTTGTTCTAATAATGCGGAAGTTGTAGTAATCGCCTTTGATAGGTACATTTTTCCTTCAATCAAAGATAATGAACATTCTTTAAGAGGAATGCAAGTCACACAATTCCACA